CTAAAATTCCATTTGACACGATCCCCCTTATCTTCTACGCTCACATCAGCTGTCCTCATATCGCATTCAATAACATCTCTCCATCTCTTTTGGTCTTCCTCTATCTCTTCTTCCTTCAACATTCATTTCTATAACTTTCGATTCTTCTCTCCTCATAACATGACCAAACCATCCAAGGCTATTTTCTCTCATCTTATACACGATTGACGCTACACCTATACTCTCTCTTATATGCTCTTTTATTATCCTATCTAGTCACAACATTTATCCATCTAAGCATTCTCATCTCTGCTGCACTCATTCTCTGCTCTACTTTCTTGGCAACCCAACCCAACACTCTGAACCATACATCATAGTAGAATTTACCTTTCAGCTTCATTGGAATTCTTTTACCGCATAAGACACCAGACGCTTCATCCTCGTCATTACTACCGCTTGCACAACTGATTCTAACTACCTAAAACTTTCCATCTCTCCAATCACGTCCACGACTATTGTCACTGATCTCCTTATTTCACCTACCTTCTGTTCTCCTTTATCAAACTCGTACTCTGTATACTCTGTCTTCCTCTAGGATAATATTATTCGGTCTAGACACATAATATTTTTCTTATCATATGTTAAACCATTTTGTTTAGTAAAACTAGTAAATCCAATAATAATAATAATGGCTGTGCATGTGTACACTCCTCTTATTCTTGCTAAATCATATAAAACGCAGTGTCCTATAATTTCTGTATCATTCAGTTGGTTCATGAGTTATGTGTTTTATAACAACTAAATTTCTTTAGATCACGAAGAAGATATTAATAATAACATCATGACTAAGGTAAGTGTTTATTTTATTGATTTATTTTAAGAAATATGATAAAAAAAAATTATTACTATTATTTTTTTTTAGAATACACCAGAATACGGCGGCGAGGAGTTTTTTAATATTTTAAATAATATCAGAAATGAACCTCTAGAAAACAACTCGCCAATTCACTGGGATGTTTTCGGTAACTTCATGATAAACCCTGAAAACGAATTAGGAACTCAACTTTCGTTTAGTGAATACGGTGCAATTGTGAGTATTATTTAAAAAAAAAACTTGTATAAAATGAATGTAATAAATTAAATATTTTAAATTAATTATAGACGCAGTACTCCAATGAATTTATTTTTACGATTCAATCACGAATCATGGATCAATAATTGAATCATGTAATACGCTAAGAAATGATGAACATATTACCTCTTTGATTTCGGATCTGTTCCCTTAGCTTATACAGGCCGAGAAAATAATCGAACCGGTATTTTCTGATATAGGTAAGTTACTTTATATTTACACAAATTCATTGCTCAAACGTGTTGTAGAAACGGGAGAATTATTTAATTTCATGTAATTTTTTTAATATACAATTTTATTAAAATATTTAAACTCAACACGTTTCCTATTTATTTATCAAACATTGAAATAATACGGCATATAGAGAGAAAAAACTTTTTTTAAGGTAATGTACATAGGTAATATTGGTTGAAGGTTGGTGGTGGTGATGGAGATGGTATTCGGTCATAGTAGTCTTTAAGAATTTCTATGAGTTTGGTTAAATTAATCTTCCAGCTCTAATTTTGGTGTTAAGTTTACCATTACTAGTCTTATTGCTTCTAACATAATAATATTCTAAATCTAATTTTTTATTTTAATTTATAACTGCTTAATTTTAATTTTTAATTGTCTAATTTAAATGTCTAAAAACTATTTAAATAATCGTGGTTAAAAATATATTCTTTTAGTAAGTGCATAAAATGTGTTTACTCTAATGCAAAATTTATGACGTCACGAGAAAAAACCCATACCGGTATCCGTCACCCATGTTGTGTTAGTCAAGCAGATTTCAAGTATCCAGGAGATCTAAAAATACATTTTAACAAACACAGTGAGTAACTTTTTCATTCATTTTATTAATAAAAATTCTCTAAATCAAATACAATGATACATATATATTAGGGTGGTCCTTAATGTATAGATGCAGAATTTTTTTTTTTCAAAATTTAATCGGGCTACCCCGGAATTTGATAAAAACTATAAATAAATAATTTGTGTCAAATTTCATTCATTTTGGTCAACCCTAAGCCGTGCCTCAAGAAGGTTGAAAATTTAATCATGAGGGTAGTTTTTCAATAATTGTAGATTATCTCAAAATTTATGATATTTACATAAAAGTTTATAACAAGGCTTAAAACCGGTTATCAGTTATAACCGAAAACCGGAACCTCTTGAGGGTTTTTTTTTTTAAATAAAAGCGGTAATTAATTATTGATTACCGATTTAATTTTATAGATGTTAACCTAGAATCGGGAATCGTTATTTAAAACCGGTTTTGTAACAAAAATGGCTTAATTCCTATACAAAAATAAAACTGTTTTTGAGAAATACCAATAATAGGATGAATGGGTTATAATACGTATCTCCAAATATACTTTAATGTAATGAGTACATATGTGATTTTCATGGAAGCAAAAATATTTCATGTGCATTAAATAGCTGTGTCGTCTTTATTTTTAAATGTGCAGTGAATATTACACCAAAGTTTTTTTTTAATTAAATAATTTAAATATTTATTTAAAATGAAGAATCCAGTATTAAAAATGTTTTTTAAACACGATAACGCTAGTAATAGAAGCGAGTGCAATTTATGTAAATAATTTATTATGGGTAAGCAACGAGTGTGAAGTGAGCAATTTCTAGCTAGCAATTTCTTATCAAAATAAAAATGCGGTAACGACTTGGTTACCAAATACATGCTACTAACTGAAGCCACTAGAGGCCGCTATAATCCACAACCTTTTAAGAAAATATTATGTTATTAACTGTTTCCACTAGAGGCCACTATAATAATTAACAACTTCAAGAAAAAATTGTTATTAAATGATGGCGATAGAGGCCGCTATAACTCATGAATGTAATAAAACAATTTGTTGTTCATTTAAGCTTTTAAAAAAACAGACATGCAAATGTAAATAAATTTATGCCCCCTAAACAACTTCCCTATAATTAATTATCTTTGTAACTAAAAAGGAAACAAGCATAATACTTAAATTTTGTAATTTCCTAAGTAGTAACCTGGCACTAGAGGAACGCTTACAATAATAACTAAGATTGATTATAAACAAAGAATACTAATTTTTTATGCATAATTCTTAATAAATAATAAGTGCTATACTGCGTATAAAAAATTAAATACTTACTCGAAAAATAGGTAGTTTATTATTCATACTTCTTAATATAAGATAACTGATTTAATTGTGCCTGATTACAAAGTTATCATACATATAAGTAAAATAGATTAGCTACAATGATTTCATTTATAGGACAGATATTAAAAAATTTGCTAAAATCCTATTTTGTGTATACGTAAAAATAAGCCTCATATACACAAATTGTTTCATACCACAAGAAATTTAAATTGTAAATTTTTTATTGAATATTTTAGTATGTTTAGGTTCTTTTGACTTTTAAATGGATGTTTGATATATTTTAGTAGCTCTTAAATGTTTTTTTTACACATTTTTTCTTATTAAAATAACATTTTATTAAGACATGTATTAACTAATCACTATCACAGTTCTAAGTTATGCATTTAACGATAACATTATATGTACAACCCATATATTTTGTGGCACTTTTGAAATGAGGTATTATCATGTAACACCGTTATTTAAAATAAATTTCTAGTTAGATATTATATACAGTTTTTATTTTAAGTTATTGAAAGAACCTAGTATATTTTAAACGCAATATAAAATAACTATAAAATGTAACCAATTTCTTCAAGGTCTAGAAAACGTGACGTCAACGGGGCTAAGCCCTTGTGCCTTCATCTCGTTACATCATTTCTAGATATTTTAGTTACTTAAAAACTGAGTTATTTGGAAAATTAAAACTTGATAGAACCATTAATTTTAAAAAAAATTAAATAAAGTAATATTTTAGATATAATTTAAGTAAAGTGAGTAAACTTTTAAATTTTAAATTTTGCTTAGAAATTATCTTGTGTATTTTTCACACTTAGCACGCTAGTTATACAAAGTGAAACAAAATTTTGTAAAACACATTTTTTCAGAAATTATTCAGAATTCAAATTCTGAATAATTTTTAAAGAAGATTATCAAAGAAAAAAATGATTAGATGTCTAAATATATATAAGATCCCTTCAAGGATAAAAATCTTTTANTTTTAAGATCATTTCAAGGATAAAAATCTTTTAGATTAATTAAATGGGACACTATTTTTTAATTAATATAATAAAAAAAAAATTACAAATTATATTATTATTATGTTTGTTATCTGAACAATTGCTTATCTAGACATGTTAAAGTTAAGCGATTTTTGATCAAATTTCCACTTATTTAGAAATACAGTATCNTTTTTGATCAAATTTCCACTTATTTAGAAATACAGTATCCGCATTTTTCTAGTGTCCAATAAACCAATTTTTTTATTCACTAAGACATAAAAAATAAGATACCAATTGTTTATCAATCGGACGCATTTTACTTGACTTTATTAAATATATAATAAATAACTTATGGATCATTAAAACAGATTTCTGCCACTGATATCATAAAATCATACAAATGATAAATTTTTACTTTAAATAATCTTAAAACACAAACAATTGATTGGATAAAATAAATTATAACAAGATTTGTTTGTAACTTTTTTTTTATGATATTATTAAGTTAAAAATAAGGATTCCGGTTTAAGAAAATCAGTTATGGATTTTTATCCTTGAAAGGACGAAAAGAAAAATGATTTAACTACATATTATTATAGTTTTTTGAACCTAAAAATTTTTTCTCTTCATAAAAATATAAAACTCCTCAATATTTTCTTAGAAAATATTAAAAATAAGTATCTTACCTAATTGCGATTACTCTGTATATAAAATTTCAAAACTTATATTAGTTAAGTAAAAGTAACTGGATACCCTCAGATCATCTTTGAATATGTAAATAACTAATGAATTAAAATAATTTTATACAGAAATATCGCAATCTCTGTAATGTTAAATGTTTATTCACTTTACTTACACAGAAGACATTTTAATTTTAATTAATGTGTTACTGAAAAATCTTTCAAAGTCTGAAATAAACTAAATGAGTTCACGTTTGACTTATAACAAAAGCGAAATCAACTATAAATTAAAAAACTCAGTGTTAAAAAAAAATCTTTATTAAAAAAAAAATTTTAATTTCCCCCCCCCCATAATTGCTGCAGCCGCCACCGCAGCTGGAGCTGCCACCGCTGCTGCTGGAGCCGCCACCGCTGCTGCTGGAGCCTCTGATACAAAACAAAAGATATTTATTAGAAATTACCATACAGCTATAAGATAAGAATCTTCTTATTGAACGACTTATATCAAGCCATAAAATTAAAAATTGTAATTACCTTTCTTGAGGCACTCCCGTTCTTTATGGCCAATATTTTTGCAAAAATTGCAATCTGAAATTGATAAAATGATTATTATTATCATTTTAATATAATAACTTAAAATTTTCAGCAAAATGATAATTGGATCTAATATTAAAAAAGTTGTCTGTTTAAACAGAGATGTCCAGTATATCTTTAACTGTTAATTATTAAATTAATTAAATTATATATAATTGATTGAAGCATTTGAGTTTTTGAATTTCCATAATACATTTAATACTATAAATTTATTACATTTGATGAAATTTATTGAATTAAATAATAAATATTGCTATTTTGCTTTTCATTATACAATACACATTATAAACTAAATATTTAAATAAAAAATGACATCTTATTTTTTGTTATTTATTCGTAAATTCAATAAGGTAACTAGTTGGTTAATTTGTTATTATCAAATAATTGAGTATTCATAGGTTCAAAATAGTTTTATATCTTTAATATTGTTTTCAATAGTAAAGTTAGTCAATCATCCTGTATATACTTATACTATGTTAAGTTGATAAAAATGAATCATTAAAAAAGAAACGTTACCATTTTCTTTTACTTGCAACAAAAATTTTTCCATTTTGTTAATTAAATTACTAAAAGGTCTTCATTTTACAAAAATAAACTATTTAAAAAAAATAAGTGATAATTATATAAGTGATGTCGAGACTTATTTTACAAAAACTCTTTATTGACAAATTAAACATTATTTTTCATTATTGTATTTTTTTTGATAATTTTATCATGATTATCTATTATATAGAAACATTTATCGACTATACAATAATTAAATTATTTCAAATGGTTGTGTGCTTCACAAAAGCTATCGTTAAAACAGGTCTAAATAAAATTGAAAGTTAAATAAAAGAATAATTTGGTTTATTCTTATTAGAAATATCCATAATTAAATACTTTTCCAACTATTAATCAATTTACTATAATATTAGTCAATTGTGGCTAANTTTAATCAATTTACTATAATAAATATTAGTTAATTGTGGCTAATATTATTTATAATATTAATTTAAAACTAAAAATTATTAAACAAAAAAATTACTTCAAAAATTTTCTTCTTCAACTGTAATTGACTGGTGTTAAACTTTATTGTATTTAATTGTAATTAAAATAAATTAATTTTTATTGTAATTAAAACAAAAAATTTAAGTAATAGAATGTAAAATACTTGTTGTATAAAATTTATTAATACTTACATCCTCTAAAAACTTTCATTTTTACATTTCCTCCTCTCATTCCTCCACCACGTCCACTTCCACGTCCTCTTCTATATCCACCACTTCCACCACCACCATCAATCATAATCCCCCCCCGAGCAAAATTGTTTAAGTATATTTTCATCTATAATACAAGCATTCTTATTAATTTGATAGATAAAAATAGACATAAATTTCTATGAAAACCAGTTAAATTATTGTGATAAATAAAGCTTAGTTTTCACTATAATTCTTTAGTTGTTTTACTTACAGATGTGTTTTTACGAATATATATATATATATATTATTTATTTATAATTATTGTATGATTTATAAGATTTGTAATTTTTATATTGATTAAATGTATAAATGTATAAAAAAATATATGCTACATATTTTTTGAAGATGTAGTAATTATATTTTTTTATAATAGACTAGTTATCCTTTGTATTTAAACACATTTTATTACATTATTAATAATAATACCAATAAAAAAAATTGTTGGTAAAATAAAAAATTTGCCTTTATAAATAAGCTAGAAAAGCCTATTTTAAAGAAAAATCTTAATTTGTAAAAGCAGCAGTGTATTTTTAAAATAGTCTCACTTGGCGACTAAAATATCTTTTTCATTCAGTATTCTTTTTATTCATGTGTGATTCCCCCTTAGTATAGAAAAGGTCAAAAATAAAATTAGGAGACAAAATAGAATCGTTGAAAGACATCAGATATTTTTATTAAACATATAATTTTTTTTTTTAATACTTAGTATAATTGAAAGTAAAATATAAAAATTTATTCTAATTTCAAAGGTAACTAACCATTTACATGGGCATAATCAAATCACATTCATTAAAAACGTCCTAATATTTATCAGATAATATGAATTTTATAAAATTCATTATTTATTTACATTCTTAAAAAAAAGGGTGAGATGTAGTGCAAAGGATTATTCGGACACCGCCTCAGCACTGATATTCAGTTACACTATTTGCTATTGGTTCCCAGATGGGTGACCTTACAAGAACAATGACAAACACTTTGTTCCAAGATGAGATTGTATCAGGTTATTATCAATGATAGTAAGGTACATAGTTGTGAGTTTATAAATACACTAACTGACAATATAAAAAGTATATCTATTGATAGTTATAATTGATAATAATAATCCGTGACTGTGACAGCAATGTCATAAAAAACCAATTAGCTACCTATATTTGTAATACTTGTGTATTATACCTGTATATTAAATCAATAATTTGAAACTTTAAATGATTATATCTAATAAACGAATTAAGTTATATTAAAAATTCAAATTCCATTTACTATTAAATTAAAAACCAAACATTTTATTAAATTAAAAATATGTGTTACCATTTAAAAAAACAAAGTTGACCCCCTTACAAGGCATAAGGGATGAACTTAAAAAGTATTACATAGTTAAAAATTCAAGAATAATGTGTAACTAAAGGGTATAAAAAAAAAAAAAATGTTTAAATTATTATTATTCTGCAAGTAATTGAGTATAAATACGTACATTTTTTTCTTACCACTATGGTATTTTAACTATAATTGTTGAAACCAAAATATTTTACCAAATTTAAAGTGACATGTATATACTACACCGATGACATTGCATACTCACAATTTTTAAAATACTGCATTAATTATTTATACAATAATATAAAGAAATATTTTATTTTTCATTACAAAATTGTAAAAGAATGATAAAATCTGCATAGGATTCTTAGCATATGCGCAATTGTGCCTATGAGGAATATAGTCCAATATCTAAAACCACGTAGGNTGCATAGGATTCTTAGCATATGCGCAATTGTGCCTATGAGGAATATAGTCCAATATCTAAAACCACGTAGGTTTATTTCTATAAATTTCAAAATAATGACATATTCTAAAAAAATAATTAGTCTTGTTAGGTAATATTTTTAAGTTATTTGAATTTTTAAAATAATAAACATAAAAATTACCAAACAAAAGGGGTTTGCTAAAAAGGGTAAGAATTTTAATTCCTTTTTTTCGGAACGACTATTAAATCATTTATGATAATAAAAAAATTACAAACGTAAATATTTGAATTAATAAATATAATAATAAAATAAGAAAGAAATTATGTTATGCAATGTTAATTAAATTTTAGATCTAGGAAAAGTAGCTTCAGCTCAATTTGATTAACATCTAGGAGAATTCTTTAAAAATTTGAAATAGACAAATATCATTAACAATTTTTAGTTATTTTTTTTAAATATATTGATATCAAAATATTCTACCAAAATTAAAACATGTTATGAAAAGTATTTTGCAATATTCCGTTAAAAAAAATGAAATAAAAAATAAGCTTAAGTTCCTTTTCCCTAAGATCAAATAATTTACCTTTTATAAAGAATATTAAATAAGATTTTATGTAAATATTAATCACAATTAATGAAGAATTAAATAATAATTTATTTTAATAAATAATGTTAAGGGAAGCGCTGTCAAAAAGCTAATATACAAATTAGACATAATAGTACTCACAGTGTAGTGCAACCTCCAACGAAGCAAGTTGATTAATGAAAGGTGACAGACGGAACAAAAGCCAAAATTGCGCCATTTGAATATCAATCGATTGTCGAGTTGANAAAAAAGCCCCATTTGAAGATCAATCGATTGTCAAGTTAACAAATATCGATATTTTCGAATCGCGATGTTTTCTTTATGAAACATTTTCTCTTTTGTATTGAATTTATTAAGTAAATTTAAAAAAGTGTTTACATTTTTTTTTTTTTACATTAATGTACGGAAAGAAGGTTGATATACTGTAACAAGGGGAGGTCACGGTGATGGGGTCACCGATTTTCATAAAATTTATATAGATCTAATCTATATTGAATACAGAATCAGACGTATTTGGATTTTTTTGCCAATGCCCCCCTTAAGTCGAGAAAATTGACTTTGAAAATTTTTAATTAGCTTAAATGGGGTCATTTTTCTTCCGGTTAACAACTCGTGTAATGGTCCTGTGGACTATACGTGATCCCACAACACGTACAGGCTCGGGACGAGTCTCAGCGACTGACAAAATTTTTTCACTGTTTTATCTTTAAATTATTAATTTTACGTAATATTTGTTAAATTTTTGTATACATTTTATTTATCTATATAGTTTTATTTGCATTCAAAGCACATTTTGATGGTACAAATTATCGATTGTCCAATGGTAAAACTATGATTAAAGTAAACTAAACTTTTATACACATAAATATAACTTTTACTATTAACCAGGTAAGAGTATATGTATAAAGAGATGATTATGAGGATTTAAACATATATAAAATCATTATATATTTTAATTTAACCTATTGTAATTTTCAAAAAAATGTATGTTTGTTATATGACAAAAGTCATAGTCAATTGAATAAATAATAATTTATAATTATATTTTTTATTATTATTAATTTTGATTATTAAATAGTAATTAAAAAATAATAATGTAAGAGTTTTAAATACACGTAAATATTAATCAATAAATATAATTCAATTCAAATGAATAAATTTTATTTAATGAAAAAAAAAAATGATTAACTTTACTCCTTCATAAAATATGAACTACACGCAAAACCTAGCACTGAACGTTAAACCTTTCAAAAATCTCTTTCCTTTATAATTTATATACTCTTACTCGGTTAATATAAAAATATATTTTATTTATTACTATAAAAAATTT